AGACTGAGTCAGGCAGATCACCTGAGGTCAGGAGTTCAAGACCAGCCTGGCCAACATGGTGAAACTCCGTCTCTACTGAAAATACAAAAAAAAAAAAATTAGCTGTGCGTGGTGGCAGGCACCTGTAATCCCAGTTACTTGAGAGGCTGAGGCACGAGAATCACTTGAACCCAGGAGGCCGAGGCTGCAGTGAGCCGAGACTGCTCCACTGCACTCCAGCCTGGGCAACAAGAACAAAACTCCATCTCAAAAAAACAAAACAAACAACAACAAAAAAAAGTTTAATCAAATTAATTTTTAGTTAAAAAATCCTTTAAAAATTTTTTGATACTTGTTCCCCTAATCTGATGTCAGATGGTCAAATGTCACTTACTGAAGACTGGGAATTCCAAACACAAAGGGTTTGCAATGATGTCTTTCCTCATTCATTCCCTCTCAGCATATGGCAAAAAACTGCGTGTGCTCAGTTTAATATTATCACTGAGCACCGTGGCTCACTCCTGTAATCCCAGCACTTTGGGAGGCCGAGGTGGGCAGATCACGAGGTCCGGAGTTCGAGACCAACCTGACCAACATGATGAAACCTGTCTCTACTAAAAATACAAAAATCAGCTGGGCGTGGTAGCACACACCTGTAATCCCAGCTACTCGGGAGGCTGAGGCAGGGTAATCACTTGAACCCGGGAGGCAGAGGTTGCAGTGAGCTACAATCGCACTACTGCACTCATCTGGGCAACAGAATGAGACTCCATCTCAAAAAGAAAGAAAGAAAGAATATTACCTAGTTTTAAATAAACTGTCAACTGATTCTTCTCCAATTCTTTGCACAAACCCTTCATTAGTCACTTTACAAAGTGAAAATAATATTGAACTAACCATATATGAAAAAGCCAAAGACATTATCATTACAACTATTTGGACACAATTTATACATACATATTTACTTATTTATATTTATTTGCCCTAAGTGTATATATTGTGCCTTGATCTAGCAGCTAATGAGATCAGGGCATGAGTACAATTTGCAATTTAAAAAGTAGAAATACTTAGGATGAGTCCTTATATTTTTTCTGATGGATTAGGAGACTACTGTTCTAGACAGTAAATTTCTCAGATTTGTTTTTAAAAGAACATAGCAAATTAACGTATATGTCAACATTGCCATTTTTATAGAGAGTCTCTGAATCAGCTCCAACGTATACCAAATAAACAAAGAGCATTTTGGGAAGCCTGAACTGAGAAGGTTGTACCCATGCTAAGAAATAAATTTATTAACCTAAGACACAAAAACAAAGAATTTTATTGGCAAACAATACCATTTGCTGGTAAATTAGATCTCTACTTCCAAAGATGACCAAACTTGATAGATTCCAAAGTAATAAATTTCAAAAAAGTAGTTCTCCACTTGAATATACTTCTTTTGAGAATCACTTTTCTAATTCAAAAAGACGTTCCAAGGGCTTCAAATTACACTATTCCCTAAGCCTAATATAACTGCTTAAGGGCTGTAATATTTGAATCACAGCAGGAGTGGTAGTTACCACACAGGATAAATAGTAACCTGTACTAGTTGTTTTAAAAGACCAATCAGACTACGTCGTATCAAGAAATCCTGATTATATACAAGCTAGTTTCAAGAAAAGTTCTTTAGGCAAAATTCTTATCAAAACTTTAATTATCAAGAGTAAAATGTCTAAATATGATAAAGAACCATTTGTATTTACTTCTTTCCACGCAAGTTTCAAATACATAAATGAATTCCCTACAAGTCTTAAAAAGTATAAAATTAATCTGTCTTAACTGATGTACCTCCTTAAAGTGTTTGAAATCTGACTGGGACAGAAAAATTAGAAAGAGAGTGCTGGACAGTACATTTACCCTTAAAAGCTGTGTGTGTGTGTGTGTATTTTAGACAAATGAACAAAGTTAAATAAAAGTGATTGTGTGGGATGGCAGGGTGCTTTTTTTTGTTTACTTTCTCAAATTTGTTCTAATGTCTTAAAAAAATACTAAAGTTCATTTATAAAAAATTATCATACCAGGACATCAAAACTGATCAACATTGTTTGATTTACTCCATGAGGTAGGATTGTGGGCAGTTTACCATCGGCTTCCATTTTACAAGATGAAAAATAAGAAAGTGAGTGACTTCACAAATATTTGTTGTCTACTACCTGTCATATACTGGGATATACTCAAGGGTAAAACACAAAATTTTACTCTCATGGGGTTTATTTTCTTTTCTAGTAGAAATAATAGGCAAATAAGGAAAGGGGCATTTATTTTAGATGGGGTGGGCTCTAAGTAGGTGATCTGAACTGAGATATAAAGGATAAAAGGGGTCAAGCAAAAAGACAGAGTTGGAAAAAATAGCAAATGCAAAGACCTTATAGTGGTCTTGCAAGAGCTTGGCAAATTTAGCTCGCACCTATAATCTCAACACGTTGGGAGGCTGAGGTGGACAGATCGCTTGAGCCCAAGAGGTCGAGACCAGCCTAGGCAACACGGTGAGACCCTGTCTCTACAAAAAATTTAAAACTTAGCCAGGCATGGTGGTGTGTACCTGTGGTCTCAGATACTCAGGAGGCTGAGGCAGGAGGATCACTTGAGCCCAGGAGGTCAAGGCTGCAGTAAGCTGTGTTTATTCCACAGCACTCCAGCCTAGGCAACGGAGCAAGACCCTGTCTCAAAAAAAAAAAAAAAAAAAAAGGTGTTTGGCAAAAGGCCAGCGCAACTTGACTGTAACTGGAGAGTGAAGTATTGGCCTTACATAGGGAAAAAGGTGAGAAAGAACCAGCTCTGCCAGGCAAAACAACAAAGTTTATAATGCATGGCTTTAGTCCAAAGGAAGATATTAGAACATTTTAAATTTAGATTTTCAAAAGATCACTCTTGCTGTTGTATGGAGACAGACAAGATTTAAAGAGGAGAGTTGACAGAAAATTGTTATATTTTTCCATAAAATAAATGATAATAACCCACAGTAAGTTGACAGCAGTGGAGACAGAGAGGAGTGGATGAATTTGAAGATATATTTTAGAATTGGAACAAATAAAATCTTATTAATTACATATCAGCATAAGAAAAAGTGAGAAATCAAGGATGATCCCAGGTTTGAGGATTCAGTAACTGGATAAATAATGGTACCATTTATTAGAATGGGAAGATCAGCAAAAAAAAAAAAAAAAAAAAAAAAAAAAACCCCACAAAAAATCATAATTATGCTACATTCAAGTGGATAACTAGTTGAATACGTAAAGCTAGAAGTCAAAGTAGAAGGATGAGTTAGAGACTATTAGCCCATTAGAAATCATCAGCCCACAGATGGTATTTCAAAGCAAAAGGGATAATATCCTAGGAACAAAGTGTAGACAGGAAAGGAAAGATAAGGGCTAAGAAACTTGGCATAAATAAAATTTTAACATAAATAAAATATTTGTCTGAAGTTCAAATGCTTACTAAGTGATCTGGCTCAATAAAGTGCTCTTTCATGATATCTAACAATCTCTTAACATTCAAAATAACTGGGCTGGGCACAGTGGCTCAGGCCTGTAATCCCAGCACTTTGAGAGGCTGAGGTGGGCAGACTGCTTGAGGCCAGCAGATTGCTTCAAGACCAGCCTAGCAACCTCATCTCTACAAAAATCCAAAAAAATTAGCCAGCCATGGTGGTGTGCACCCATAGTCCCCGCTACTACAAAGGCTGAGATGGGAGGATCATTTGAACCCAGGAAGTCAAGGTGGCAGTGAGCCGAGATCATGCCACTGCACTCCAGCCTGGGTGACAGAATGAGACCCTGTCTCAATCAATCAATAAAAACAGGCTGGGCAGTATACATGCCTGTAATTCCAGCACTTTGGAAGGCCAAAGCGGGAAGATCATTTCAGGCCAAGAGTTGGAGACCAGCTGGGCAACACAGAAAGACCCTGTTTCTACCAAAAGTAAACTGATTAACTAAATTAAATATAAAAATTAGCTGGGTGTGGTATGGCATGTACCTGTAGTCCTAGCCACTTGGAAGGTTGAGGCAGGAGGATCACTTGAGCCCAGGAAGTTGATGTTACAATGAGCTACGATCACACCACTACCCTCTAGCCTGGGCAACAGAACAAGACTCTCCTCTAAACAAAAACAAAATAAAGCCATCTTTCGTAGCTAAAAGTTCTCAAATTTTAGTTTTTAATCGTGAAGTAACTCCATACTTTTGTTTCTATCAAGAATTAACTAACTTGAATCCCAACAGGCTTAGTATATTTTTGCCTTTAAATATTTGTTGCTTTTGAACTTGACAAGCTACCTATAAAAATTCCCATGAAGGTAAAAAGCAACAAATAGCCAAGAAGAAAAATAAGTATGAGACCTTAACTACCAAAAAAAAGGTGCATTATGAAGCCGTGTGAACTATATAGGAGGAATAAGTTCTAGTGTTCTATAGCACTGTAGGATGACTATAGTTAACAATAAAATATTATATAGTTCAAAATAGCTAGAAGGAGAATATTGAATGTTCCCAATATAAAGAAATAATAGGCTGGGCGCAGTGGCTCATACCTGTAATACCAGCACTTTGGGAGGCCGAGGCAGGCAGATCACCTAAAGTCAGGAGTTCAAGACCAGCCTGGCCAACATGGAGAAACCCGTCTCTACCAAAAATACAAACCATTAGCTGGGCATGGTGGCATGTGCCTATAATCCCAGCTACTTAGGAGGCTGAGGCAGGAGAATCACTTGAACCCAGGAGGCAGAGGTTGCAGTGAGCTGAGATTGCGCCATTGCACTCCAGCCTGGGCGACAAGAGCGAAACTCCGCTTCAAAAAAGAAACAAACAAAAAAAAAACAAACAATAAATGATAGATAGATATGCTAATCACTAATCTGAACACTATATGTATCACAATATCACTATATACCTCATAAATATGTAAAATTGTTAATTTAAAATTTTTAATATCAATGTTTTAAAAATATAAAATATTTGCCAAAAAAAGCTATGTGAATAAGATAGTATGGTACTGATATAGGTATAAATGAACAATAGAACAGGATAATAAATTCAAAAACAGATCAACACATGTAATGACATGATTTATGATGAAGATAACACTGCAGATTGGTGAAGAATGCATACCCTTCCAATAAATGATGCTGTGGGCCATTATAAATCCATATGGAAAAAAGTGAAGTGGAATCCCTTCCTCACAACAAACACACAAAAAAATTCTAAATGTAAAAAGCAAAACTCAAAGTCTATAGTAGAAAATATAAGGCTATTTTCATGATCTTAGAGCAGGGAAGCCTTTCTCAAACAAATCACAAAAGTGCTCATTAAAAACACCCCCCACCAATTCACTTATCAACCATATCCAGTAGAAGAAACACAAGCTAAACCACAAACAAAATAAAGAGTCAGAAGAGCACCAACTAGACTTGGACTTAGGAAATGTGGGCTCTAATCCAGGCTGTCACCACTTGTGACAAGGGCAAGTCACATAAGTCTTTGGGTCTTCATGTACTCATTTTCAAAAGGAATAAGTATTCCACACTACTTTTTATTGATACCTCATAAAAAGTGTTTTTCTAAGTGGCATGTGGAATACATAAGATAATTCCAAACCAGGTCTTCTGGCCAAAGTGTACTGCTGATGTAAAATTCTCACCAAAAAGTCTTTCTTGAATGAGCTAATTAGATAGACAGCATTCTCAGTGTTGACACCTCAAGAAGATGAAGAAAAAGAGAAGATAAATGTTTCCCAGGCCTCCCCAGAACTGCAGAGCATAAATAAGTGAACATGCTGACAATGTTTAAGGCTGACCTTGATAGAACAGGGTTTATTCCACATGACGCTAGATGCAGGGTGTACTCACAGAGTAAACTGACCTTGCTGGGCATTTGTTTGGTCATACTACATCTTTAATAAAACTGATAAAAATAGAAAGGTCCTGGAAGTATCAGTAAGATAATAATCAAAGAATTTATGTGTATCTGTTCACATAACCTGACAAGTAAAATTACATCATCATAGACAGGGATTCATTGTGGTTGCTTGCTTGAATAGCTAGGGGAATAAGTACAGGATGTTCTGGGAGGATTTTTGATAAATACCAGCCAAGTCATCTCTGTACCATTTTTCCTGACACTACCAGGCAACGTACTCAACATTTCATTAGCTTCTCAAAATGACATTTTTTTTTTTTTTTTCCGAGCTAGCTGAGATTTTATTTTGGACCAAAAAAAAAAAAAAGCAATTGAATTGTTTTGCAGCTGGAGCATGGGCAAGGGGGGTCCCCAGGCAGTAAACTCCCCGCCGGTGGGCTGAGGGCTAGGGCTGAGCGTCAGGTGGGTCTCCTGTTCCCTGCGCTCCCCTGCACAGCAACCTCCCTCCTGGGCTCTGGGGCAGCCTCAGGAGGGGCAGGCTGGGAGGGGCAGGCTGGGAGGGGCTGTTGCAGCTGTTCACTTGGGCAGGATGTCAGAGGACTCAGACACCAGCCTCCCATCGCGGGTCTCAATCTTCTTCACAACCACAGCCTTGGTGGAGCTGGTGCGGCTGATGGAGCTGGAGCCCGCGACAGAGCCAAAGCTGGAGCCCAGGCCGTAGCTGAGGCCGGGGCTTGTGAGGCCCCCATAGGCAGAGCTCAGACCACCTGCATAGCCGCTGGTGGTCTTCATGTGGATACTCATGTTCTGCATCCCGGACTCCAGCCGGCTCTCCTCGCCCTCCAGTAGCTTGCGGTAGGTGGCGATCTCGATGTCCAGGGCCAGTTTGACATTCATCAGCTCCTGGTACTCACGCAGCTGCTTTGCCATGTCCTGCTTGGCCCGCTGCAGGGCGGACTCCAGCTCCTGCTGCTTGGTATGAGCGTCCTTGAGTGCCCGCTCCCCGCGATCCTCAGCATCTCTAATGGCGGCCTCCAGGGAAGCCCTCTGGCCTTTGAGGCCCTCGATCTCAGCCTGGAGCCGGCTGATGTTCCGGTTCATCTCGGAGATCTCAGTCTTCGTACGCCGCAGGTCATCCCCGTGCTTCCCAGCCAGCATCTGCAACTCCTCATACTTGATCTGGTATATGCTCTCCGCCTCAGCCCGGCTGTGGTTGGCGATCTCCTCGTACTGCGCCTTGACCTCGGCAATGATGCCATCCATGTCCAGAGAGCGGCTGTTGTCCATGGACAGCACCACAGACGTGTCAGAGATCCGGGACTGCAGCTCCCGGATCTCCTCTTCATACAGCTGCCTGAGGAAGTTGATCTCGTCAGTCAGTCCTTCCAGGCGAGACTCCAGCTCTACCTTGTTCATGTAAGCTTCATCCACATCCTTCTTGATGAGGACAAATTCATTCTCCATCTCTGTACGCTTATTGATCTCTTCCTCATACTTGTTCTTGAAGTCCTCCACCAGCCCCTGCATGTTGCCAAGCTCCGCCTCCAGCTTCAGCTTCTCCTGGCCCAGAGTCTCCAGCTGCCGCCTCAGGTTGTTGATGTAGTTCTCAAACATGTCGTCCGTGTTGCTCCTAGCCGTTTTCTGCTGCTGCAGGAGGCTCCACTTGGTCTCCAGCATCTTGTTCTGCTGCTCCAGGAACCGCACCTTGTCGATGAAGGAAGCAAACTTGTTGTTGAGGGTCTTGATCTGCTCCTTCTCCTGGGTACGCACGGCCTGGATGTTGGGGTCCACATCTACCATAATGGGGTTCAGCAGGCTCTGGTTGATGGTGACGGCGGTGATGCCTCCCATGCCTATGCTGCTGGCCCCAAAATAGCCTGCACCCAGGCCACCCCGGAAGCCACTACTGCTCACTCGGGAGAAGCTCAAGCGGGCACTGGGCCCACTCGTTAAGGAGCGGCTGCTGAAGGCCCCGGGGCCAGAGGTGGACACCTTTTAGGACTTATGGGTCACCCTGGTGGACATGGTGGAGGCAGGAGTGGAGGCAGGCGGGCTGAACTAGGGAGAGATTCCAGAAGGAGCGGAGAAGCTGCTTCTTGCTCAAAATGACATTTTATGATGAAGCTCAGGTTTTATAGTCAGATCCTTATTAAAAGTCACAAGTAGTTATATTAAAATAATTATTATCAGCAAAGCCTTTTAAATAAAAATAATACTATACAAGAACCAAAAACATTAACCTAGGGTCAATAGATAGGATTCATGGATCTCTGAACCTCCTGAAATTCTGTATAAAACGTGTGTGTGTTTGTGTGTGTGTCTGGAAAGAAGTCCATAATCAAAAAAAAAAGGCAAAAAAGCCTTGAATTATCAAGTATAATGTGCACACACACAAAAAAGAAGAAAATAGAAAAACTACATTAAAAAAAAGAAAACCTTGAATTAGATGATCCTTCTCAACTCTTAAATCCTACGACTCCATGCAAATTTAGTGACATTTTAGATAAGAAGGGAAATGATATTCCTATTAAGGAAACAGTATTTTTCTTCCTTCTAATTCATCTATTCTATCCTATATCCAAGTTCAGATAAAGTCAGTTTCACTTTTTTTTTCTCTTTTTTTAGAGACAGGGTCTCACTCTGTGTTCCAGGTTGGAGTGCAGTGGCAGAATCATAGCCCACTGCACCACCATGCCTGGCTAATTTTGTTTTGTTTTGTTCTGTTTGTAGAGATGAGGGTCTTGCTATATTGACCAGGCTGGTCTCAAACTCCTGGCCTCAAGCAATCCTCCCCCGTCAGGCTCCCAAAGTGCTGGGATTACAGGTGACAGCCACCAAACCTGGCCTCAGTTTCACCTTAAAAGAGTTTAGAACTCCATGGCTTCAAATAAGCAATGAAAAACTCAGTTAAGCAGTGCCCCATGATTTCAAAACCTTCAATGTCTTGTTCTCAGTTATCTTCCTATTTTTTAAGCCTCTCTAAGGTATCAAATTTTAACTACAATATATTTTACTTCTCAATAAGAAAATTAATTTCTTCTTAGGTCTTTTCCATCAGAACCCACTCTTTGTAGGTCCCGTGTATATTTTCAAATCACCTGAAAAATAAGATCTCACTCTTTCCTACAGCTAATTAGTTGGGCTGTTAGTCCAAACCTTAGCCTTTGAAAAAAGCTATTAGTCAACTGCTAGTCTGGCCAAAATTTAGTGACTGATTCCTACTCCTACCTCATAAATACATACTTTAAAAAAACACACAAAACTTGTTAACTAGAACTATAATTTACCATAAACTACTCATAAGAAATTATAGTTCTGCTGACTGGCAAGTAATTTGCAAAGGCAGATCAGTTTGGCTACATAATATAAATATCTACCTGCATGTACTGGCACTAATCAGGGTGTGAAATTAAACTCTTTATTCAGAAACAAATAGCTGCTTCAAGGCTGTGATTTAGCCTGGGAAGCAAATATTAAGGTCATCCTCTTCTCTCTGATGTTTATAGTATTCCTAATAGGGGAATCAAGGAAGGAGAGCTGATGGCCAACTTCTGTAAAAGTGAAAATAATCTCTATGACGAAACAAATTTGCCACTTGCTTTACTAATTGCACAGACTTAACAAAACCAAGTTGCTAAAGCATACCAGAGATTACTTAAATACTAAAAGCACAAACTGAACATTATGGATACCTAATTTGGTTACTTCATTGAGCGAAGTAAAGAAAATTCAACAAATATAAATGCTACAATAAGTTTTACAATAGCCTAGACAGGACATGGTGATACATGCCTGTAGTACCGGCGGCTACTCGGGAGGCTAAGGCAAAAGAATCACTTTTGCGCCCAAGAGTTTGAGTCTAGACTGGGCAACACACCAAGACTCCATCTCTAAAAAATAAACAGATACCTAAAATAGCCTATAACCATTTTTATTACAACACAGATAATTTTGAATTAGCTGGGTTAATGAGATCCTATTAAGCAATTTAGCCAATTGCCAAAATTTTCCCAACAATGATCAAAATCCACTAATACAAACTTCAACTTACTTATTTATACTGTATCTATATTATTCTCATCTCTATTCAAAAAAGCAAACAAGTATAAAAATGGCCCAAGGTCAGCACAGTGGCTCATGCCTGTAACCCCAGCACTTTGGGAGGCTGAGGCAAGAGGGTTCCCTGAGCCTAGCATTCAAAGTTGCAATAAGCTATGATCACATGACTACACTCCAGTCTGTCTCAAAAAATAAAAATAAAGAAAATATAGACTTTGGGAGGCCGAGGCGGGTGGATCACAAGGTCAAGAGATCAAGACCATCCTGGTCAAAAAGGTGAAACCCCGTCTCTACTAAAAATACAAAAATCAGCTGGGCATGGTTGCACGCGCCTGTAGTCCCAGCTACTCGGGAGGCTGAGGCAGGAGAATTGCTTGAACCCAAGAGGCAGAGGTTGTGGTGAGCTGAGATCGTGCCATTGCACTCCAGCCTGGGTAACAAGAGTGAAACTCCATCTCAAAAAAAAGAAAAAGAAAATATAGAAAGAAAAATGACCCCAAAAAAGGAAGCTTTATACAAGCCACAGAAGTTCTCAAAGTATAATCCCAGAACCAGCAGCATCACCTGGAAACTAGTTGAAAATGCAAATTCTCATGCCCCAACCCAGGTCTAAAGTACAGAAAACTTAGCCTGGGTGAAACCCCATCTCTACAAAAAATACAAAAACCAGCCAGTTGTGGTAGTGATGCACACCTGTAGTCCCAGCTACTACGGAGGCTAAGGTGGGAGGATGGTTTGAGCCTGAGAGGTCCAGGCTGCTGTGAGCTGTGATAGCACCATTGCACTCCAACCTGGAAGAAAGAGCAAGACCCTGTCTCAAAAAAAAAAAAAAAGAAAAGAAAAGAAAAGAAAGAAAGAAAGAAAAACTCCAGGGAAGGCCCAACAAGCCCTCTAGGCAATTCTGATGTACTTTTTGTTATAAAAAGCCCCTAAAAATGTAACCCAATTCTCTAAGCAGCTTTGATAGTGTTTTCAACTAAAGATAAAAGTTATCTTTATCTTTTTTACAATGTAAAAAGTACACTTTAATTCGTCTAAGTTCAAAAATGAAATAAAGATGACAAAGCCCATGCAATGTCCTTCCAAAATAGTAAACAGTCACCATTTCAAAATTGAGAAAGAAAAAAATTATTTAGAACCACCTAAAAATAAATAAGCTGATTTTACAACTACCACAGAAGAATCACCAATGGATGGTAAAACTTAGGTGAAACAATTTTGTGAAATAAGATATTTACACAGTCTCCAAGTTTGCTACTCTGAATACTTACGAATATACCTTTATAACAGACAAATCTAGTGAATACAACCTTACTAATCAAACAATCTAATAATGGAACAAACTGACATTATATACCTTCTGATGTAGTACACTAAGAAAAAAAAACAGCATGTATTATACTCCTGCCAAATGTTCTACCCTGATCTAGTCATGGAAAAAACAAGCAGACAAATCCAAATGAGGGACATTCTGTAAAACTACCTCACACTCTTCAAAAACGTCAATTTCATGAATAAAAGCCATTAGGGAACTACTGTAAATTAGAGGAATCTAAAGAGATATTATATATAACGTGATTGGGTCCTGTATTTTTTTTTTTTTTTTTTTAAAGAAACGTGCTCACACCTGTAATTCTAACACTTTGGGAGGCCAAGGCAGGCAGATTGCCTGAGGTCAGGAGTTCGAGACCAGACTCACCAGCATAGTGAAACCCCGTCTCTACTAAAAATACTAAAATTAGCTGGGTGTGGTGGCAGGCACCTGTAATCCCAGCTATTCAGGAAGCTGAGGCAGGAGAATCACTTGAACCCAGGAGGTAGAGGTTGTAGTGAGCCAAGATTGTGCCACTGCACTCCAGCCTGGACGACAGAGCAAGACTCCATCTCAAAAAAAAAAAAAAAAAGACATTCTTAGGACAACCAGAGGTTTTGAATATGAACTGTGTATTAAATAATAAATGGTTATCAGTGTTAAATTTCCTGAGTGGAATCTTGTATTGAGGTTAGGAATGAGGATGCTCTTGTTCTTAGAAAATATATGCAGAAGTAAAGGTGAAATATCATGACTGCAACTCTCAAATAATTTAGAAAGAAAATAAAGCTATATATTAGGAGAAGTCAAATGTGGCAAAATGTTAACATTTAGATGATTCAGGTGATGGGTATAAGAGTTATCATCGTGTGTTTCTCATAATTTTTCTGAAAGATTTGAAAAAAGAATGACACCATCCACAGCTCTCCTCAAAATTGTATTTCTCAAAAATAAGTCAAAAGATAACATCTCTCACCAAAAAAACTATAAAATACCTACTCTAAGGTGCATGTTAATTCTAAAGTCGGCATATAACTTATATTTATGGTACACTGTAATGTCAAAGTGCTTTTATGTGTATTTGCTTACTGGATCTTCAACCCAGTAGATAGAACAGTGACTATCAGTCTCATTTCAGAGAAGAAATTGAGGAACAGTTTTAAGATAGCACAATGATTAAGCACACTCACTCTGGAGCTAGAATGTCTGGGCTGGAATACCAGCTGTGCCATTTACAAACTTATCTTGAAAAAGTAAGTTAACCTCTCTGTGCCTTAGTTTCCACCTTGGTAAATCAGGATAATAATAAAACATACCCAATAAGATGAGAGGATCAAGTGAGTTAATATACGTAGTGTCTAGAATCCTGCATGATATATGCTGAGCTAAAAGTGTTGGCTGCATTATTATTGTTATTTTTATTATTATCACCATCCAAGAATAAGGTAAGAGAATAAGTAAAAATACAGTCATGAGCCCCCTAATGACATTTCAGTCAAATATGGTCAGATACTCAACAGTGGTCCCATAAAATTGTAACACTGTATTTTTATTGTACCCTTTGTATGTCTGGATATGTTTAGATACAAACACTTACCATTGTGTTACAATGGCTTACAGGATTCAGTGTACAGTAACAAACTGTACAGGTTTGCAGCCTACAAGTAACAGGTTATATCACATGGCAAAGGTGTATAGTAAGGTGTACCATCTAGGTTTGTCTAAGTACACTCTATGAGGTTCACACAGCAACATAATCACCTAACAATATATTTCTCATAATGTATCACAGTGTTATTAAGCCATGCATGACTGTAATTAAGATAGGACTTGAAACCAGGTCTTCTGACTCCAATTCCTGTGTAATTTTCACTATGCCAATATTGTTTCAATCACTTAGTGGACAAGGAAATGGAAAACTAAAAGCATCACTTTATACATATGTACATGACAGAGTGCATAAACGAGAAGGAAGTCTGCTAATTAAAAGAGCTTGTTAAATCTAATTCATCTTTAAGAGACATATGATCTGGATGCTTATAGTCTTTTATAATTTTAAAAATTATTTGTTCTTTTTATAATAATTTCATTTACTCCTCATAACAGCTCTTTGAGATACAAAAGCAGGTATTATTATCTTTGCTTTCTATATGAGCAAAGTGAGACTCAAAGAGGTTAAGCAACATGCCCAACATCTCATGACATCTAGAAAGCAGAACCAGAAAACCAGGTCTTGTTTTCACTACAGTACAATGGAAAATTTACCTACCAATATAAATTGATTACAAGGTATTTCAAAGAAGACATACTAACAAAACAGGTAGAACTCCCGTATTGTCAGTTATAAACAAAAGAAGTTGTAACTAGTCCATTCAGCAAACAGATGTCACTTTGCAGAGCTTTGATATTTTTCTTAAATACCTTTGAAAACAAGGATCAAAAAATATGAACTCTTATAAAAAGGCCTTTATTGTATTTTTATAGCTTATTACATACCTTGTAACAATCATTTTGTTAAATGTGAATGTCAGTTTTATTTTCGGTCCCTTTTTTCCTGGCTATTTACAAGCTTTGTAAGAATCATTCCTTAATTAAGTCTAAACATAGTTTTATATAAATGGATTCCTGGAAATAAAACGTTCAGACTTAAGAAATGATTGTTACAGAGACTGTAACAGGCTGTAAAAAAACGAGTACCACTTTAAACAAAGATTTCTCATTTTAATTAAAAAGATAATCATCAGAACATTCCTACACTTAACAGAACCATTTACAGAAGCTTCTTAGGGAAAAAAAAATGTAGTATATTATGCAGGCTCCCGTACTATAATTTATAACACATTTAAATCAAAGTCTCAGTTGATCCTTTACTATGAATTCTTATATACTGTACCTACATTTTAAAGACAAACTGAAAGAGAACAGGTCCTAATGAGATAAATCACATGTCTAATTCTTTTTAACATTAATGCTTTCAAAAGATTATATTTTCCCACAAGACATTAGTGAAATACATTAAGAAAACCTTTGTAACACGACCACATATAAACGTAAGGATTCTATGTAGTTTATTGATGAGGTGGGTATGTATCAGGTAAGGGGACCACATTCAGAAGACCACCATATAATCAAAGGTGGCACATACATACATAAAAAGAATTTCTACTTTCAAACTCTGATGTAAGTGGAAGCAATCCTTTCTGATTTTTCAAAATGTCATACATGCCGGTATATGATTACAGGTAAAATCTGATAAAGCAGGATTCTTTACAATTAATTCATTTGACCACTTTTTAAATTATTTGTTTTCAAAGCATGTGAAATTTATAGTTAGTCAACATTCCAAGAGAGGAAGAAAGAGATCTTATAAGTTTGTCATTATAATTAGGTGCAATTTAAGAACAGATACATCAATGTTCTTCTACTTAAGTCACCTTTTCTAAATTACACTGAACACTAAACATGAATCACTCCTTGACAGTCCATTTGTAATTTCAATATATTACTGACTACTACTTCAAAGCAAATGTTTTCCTACGGAAACAAGTTATAATTGAGGCTGGGCGAGGTGGCTCATGCCTGTAATCCTAGCACTTTGGGAGGTGAAGGTGGGTGAATCACTTGAGGTCGGGAATTTGAGACCAGCCTGGCCAACATGGTGAAACCCCGTCTCTACTAAAAATATAAAAATTAGCCGAGCTTGGTGGTACATTCCTGTAGTCTCAGCTACTTGGGAGGCTGAGGCAGGAGAATCACTTGATCCTAGAAGGTGGAGGTTGCAGTGCACCGAGATCATGCCACTGCACTCCACCTGGGTGACAAAGCAAGACTCCTTTTCAAAAAAAAAAAAGAAAGAAAGAAAAAGAAAAATTGGCCGGGTGCAGTGGCTCTGACTCACGCCTTTTATCCCAGCACTCTGGGAGGCCGAGATGGGCGGATCACAAGGTCAGGAGCTTGAGACCAGCCTGGCCAATATGGTGAAACCCTGTCTCTACAAAAGATACAAAAATTAGCCGGGCATAGTGGCACACACCTGTAATCCCAGTTACTCAGGACGTTGAGGCAGGAGAATCACTTGAACCCAGGAGGCAGAGATTGCAGTTGAGCCAAGATCATACCACCACACTCCAGCCTGGGCAACAGAGTGAGACTCTGTCTTAAAAAAAAACAAAATCATAACTGGGAGGCTATTTCCTAACTGAGAACTTGGTAGCAAATAAAGTACTGACATGACTAACACCACCAAAACAAAGATTCAATAACTGTAAAACTCACAATCATTAAAAAGAAGGAAATTACGTTCCAGCTTCATAAAATGGGAGTAACATACCAATGATCAGCAAGTATGCATTCCAAATGTGAAAAACATAACTCTTCCATATTCACTCATTAAGCAAATTTAACCTCAAGCTAATAACCAACTTAAAAAAACACTAAACATTTAATTAGCAATCATTTAGTTTGCTTCTTATAACATAGATTGTTGCTTGGATGATTTACAAAGGGAGAAGAGATAGATGGGACCAAATTAATGTATTACTCAAGAGAAAGCCTTTCTTGCCTTCATCTAAATTATTTCCCTGAATAAGAGTTACTAAAATCATACCATTGATCTATGCTACCAGGAAAATGAAATTAGTAAATGTAGATCATGATCTTGTTCATGATCTTGATCACAGTGTCCATGAGTGTTTCTCACTTATTTCTCCTTTACTTAAATATATATATGCATATAAAAAAATCTGGTCATCCTATCTCCTCAGTTTGTTTGTTTGTTTGTGAGATGGTGTCTCACTTTGTTGTCCAGGCTGGAGTGCAGTGGCACAATCCTGGCTCACTGCAACCTCTGCCATCGGGGTCAAGCGATTCTCCTGCCTCGGCCTCCTGAGTAGCTGGGATTACAGGTGCCAGCCACTAGGCCGGCTAATTTTTGTATTTTTAGTAGAGGGTTTCTCCATGTTGGCCAGGCTGTTCTCAAACTCCTGATCTCAGGTGATCCACCTGCCTCGACCTCCCAAAATGCTGGAATTACAGGCATGAGCCACCACGCCCAGCCTCTCCTCAGTTTATTAAAGGCCACAAGTGTTCTACATAATATCAAAGGCCACCAGAAAAAAAAAAAAGCTCTGATGTCACTCTCTTATTCACACTGTCATATGGCTTAATTAAAACTCTGCAGATAGGTTTCAGAGTACCCAAACTTCATTGAAAAACCATGAATATTCAATAGTACAACTCCTTTCTAAAAATATTCATGAAGTCTTTCACAGAATGTTAAAGTCAGGCACAACAAATATTTTTTCTGATGACCATGTATTATCTTTTGTTTTGGATCCTCCATTGATAAAGGCATAAAGAACCAAGGAATGCATTAGGGAAATGCAAATTAAAACCACAGTAGGGTATCACTATACACTTATTAAAATGGCTAAAATTAAAAATACTGACAATCCCAAATGCTGACACAGATGCAGATCAACTAGAACTTTCACACATTGCTTGTGGGAATGCAAACTGGTACAATCCCTCTGGAAAATAGTTTAGCAACTTCTAATAAGGTTAAACGTACATTTATCATGCAATTCTCCTCATGGATATTTACCTTAAAGAAATGAAAATGTTCACACAAAATCTATACACAAGTGTTTACTTATAGTAGCTTTAGTTATAATCACCAAAACCAGAAACAAACCAAATGTCCTTCAGCAGTGAATAAACCAAGTCTGGTATATTACACAATGAAATACTACTCAACAATAGTAAGACACGAACTCCCTAGACATGCAACAAAATGGATTAATCTAGCTCAAAGGTTATATGCTGAATGGAAGAGGTCAGTAGCAAAAGGTTTCATATTGCACAGTTCCATTTATTTGACATTCTCAAAAACATGAAGTGAGGAAGTGAGGGTCAGAGGAGGAGAAACAGTATAAGAGTTTTTTGTGGTGGAGTAATAGAATTGCTCTTATCCTGATTGTGGTTTACATGAATCTACACATATTAGAATTCCTAGAACTGTATACACTAAGAAAAGTCCATTTTACTGTACATTCATTAAAAAAACTGGAATAGAAAATTTGCACATAGCAGGCATAAATGAATATATAAAGAGTAAAATGAGGCCTGGTACGGTGGCTCACACCTGTAATCCCAATACTTTGGGAGGCCAAGGCGGGTGAATCACAAGGTCAGGAGTTCGAGACCAGCCTGACCAATATGATGAAACCATGTCTCTGCTAAAAATCCAAAAAAAAAAAAACTAGCTGGGCATGGTGGTGCACGCCTGTAGTCCTAGCTACTTAGCAGGCTGAGGCAGGAGAATTGCTTAAACCCAGGAGGTGGAGGTTGCAGTGAGCTGAGATTGCACCACCACATTCCAGCCTGGGCAGTAGAAGGAGACTTGGTCTCAACAACAACAAAAAGTGAAATGAAATGAGAATTCAATGCCTATTCAATAAACTTTGGGAGTCTACATGAATTAGTTTGTGTTAGAATGTTGTTGTAAAAGCACCACCACCTTACATGTATGACCTATAAAGCACCTTTACATTTACCGTATTTAATTGTACTGAATTACATCTCCTACCTCTATCTAGGTAAAGATGCTGTGGCTGATGATGATTATGAGATGAGGGACCAGTCACAGCTTCTTTAAAATAAATGAAGATGATACACATAGTTCATAGTACTGTTCATAGTACTAGGAAGTACTACCAGTTTTATTGTGATGTGATTTTAATGTAGTACCTGAGTGGCTACTGTCCTTCACTAGGTATACCTCTTCTAAGTGTCATATCTTGCTTATTTTCCTCCTCACATAGTTCACCATTTCTCTAGCTGCAAACAGCCTGCAGAAGTAAATTTTCTGAAACCAACTTATTACCAACTAGTTAAAATTCCGAGAGTCGAAGCCTCAGCCATATCTGTCTCATTCTGCCACCACTTGTCGTTGAGATGGAGTCTTGCTCTGTTGCACAGGCTGAAGTGCAGTGTGGCACAATCTCAGCTCTCTGAAACCTCTGTCTCATGGTTTCAAGCAATTTTCTGGCCTCAGCCTCCCAAATAGCTGAGATTACCAGGCGTGGGCCATCATGCACAGCTAAATTTTGTATTTTTAGTAGAGACGGGGTTTCACAATGTTGGCCAAGCTGGTCTCGAACTCCTGACCTCAGATGATCCACCCGCCTCAGCCTCCCAAAGTGCTGGGATTACAGGTGTGAGCCACCGTGCCTGGCCTGTCAGCACTTTTGATTCCAGTTAATGCAGCTCCTTCCCCAAGTACAAGGCCTCACCTTTCACTCTGGTTCTAGCCACATTTCCCACACTTCCCCTGTGTTGATACACTGGCCAGCACGCAGTGAACTAGATGTTTCGTCAAAGCATTATCCGGAGAAATACCAACATCAGAAACATCTGATATGCTTGTTAAACATGCCAATTTTTTAGGTGTACCAAGTAAACAGGAAGAGGAGGGAAAAATAACTAAGAATCTGTACTACATTTTAACATGCATTTCAAATGATTCTTTTTTTTTTTTTTTAGACGGAGTTTCGCTCTTGTTACCCAGGCTGGAGTGCAATGGCGCGATCTCGGCTCACCGCAACCTCCGCCTCCTGGGTTCAGGCAATTCTCCTACCTCAGCCTCCCGAGTAACTGGGATTACAGGCACACGCCACCATGCCCAGCTAATTTTTTGTATTTTTAGTAGAGACGGGGTTTCACCATGTTGACCAGAATGGTCTTGATCTCTTGACCTCGTGATCCACCCGCCTCGGCCTCCCAAAGTCCAAATAATTCTTATACAGAATAAAGTGTAGAACTATTGCAAGAGGCACTAATTAGTACAGGCTGAATGAACTAATGAATTGAATGAATCAATTATTTAGTTCCTTGCTAGGTTTCCCAGTTCCACTTTTGAGTTCAAGCATGAAGCAATGCTTTGCCACCTGTTTCTAGTATTCACTGATGCTTTCTGCCTGTTGATCTCCCCAGAATATCTGCCCCAGACTCCCTGCCATTATTCTCCAGCTGAAAGTATATCCTAGTATATCAGTCCGTTTTTGCACTGCTATAAAGAAATTCCTGAGACCGGGTAATTTATCAGAAAAGAGGTTTAACTGGCTCCCAGTTCTGCAGGCTGTACAAGAAGCATAGTGGATTCTGCTTCTGGTTGTTTCTGCTTCTGGGAAGGCCTCAGGAAATTTAAAATCATGGCAGAAGGCACAGGGAAAGGAGGTACATCTTACATGGCCGAAGCAGGAAGAAGAGGGGGCAGAGAAGGTGCCGCACACTTTAAAGCAACCAGATCTTGTGAGAACTCTATCACACAAGAACAGCACCAAAGTCGGAAATCCACCCCCAAGATCCAAACACCTCCCACCAGGCCCCCACCTCCAAAATTGGGGATTACAATTAGACATGAGATTAGGGTGTGTACAGAGCCAAACCACATAATCTTCCCTTGCTAAATTCCCCTAAGTCCATACACCTGGTTCAGTTGCCAACAGATACCATGTTCCATCTGCCTAGCTCAATTTCTTTTCAACTCTTAGCCACCCCGCAGCACCTAGCCTCTATAGCTTTGTGCCTCCTTATCTGTAAGATTTTGATAAAACTGTGTCCCTAATAGAGAGTGGTTATAAAACTACCCAAACCCAAATCCTGATATTTCTCTCACGTAAGAATTTGAGTACAGCTAGTCCAGAGAACTCCAGTTCAGCCTACTTTTTACGCAGATAAACTTTTCTTAACTTCTTCTTATGGATACTTTTAAATATAGAAAAAAGTACAGAATAATATATAATAAATCCCCATCTAACCATCGTGCAGCTTTCCACCTTCCAAATCTCATACATTCTATCACTTTGCCCATCTTTATTTATGCAAATATATTTTAAATGTAAAGTCTCCTTAATATAGTTAGAGACTATCCCACTATCTTCACCCACCAAATACTCATTTTCCCTTATCTACCTACTGCTTTGGTAACCCTCTAATTGCCTTGAACATGACTGATGCCAGCTCTATTTTGCCCTTTTTCTTCATTTTACTCATTCTGTCTCCAGAATATCCTTGAATGTCTTTCCTCCTTTTCCATACCTACTGTCCTAGCTCAAGCCCAGTCTCTTGCCTAGATTATTACATACTTTAAAAGGTCTCTCTGCCTCTCTGTTCCCCTTCCCTAGTCCAATCTACTCTAAGTTAAAGCACTAAAGTGCTCTTTAATCTTTTTGTTATTGCCCTTAGTGGAAATCAGATTCAAATGTAAGTTACACATCTTTCAGAAAAAAGTATAAAAAGTGTTTATAGCTTGAAAAGGGCCACAGACCTCAGATTTAAAACCTCTGCACTATCAGCAACAAAGAGGATTAATTTTTTAAAATAACACCTAAAAACATCTAATTCCTAGGAATAATTTAACAAAAAATATATAAAGACCTCTATACAGAGAAATTCAAGACCTAAATAAATGAAAAGATACATCATTTTCATGGACTATGAAATTCAATAGGGTTAAGATCTCAGCTCTCCCAAAACTTACATATAGATTCAATGCAATTCCAATAAAAATCATAGAAGTATGTTTTGTGGAAACAGACTAGCTTTTTTTTTTTTTTTTTTTGAGACAGAGTCTCACTCTGTTGCCCAGACTGGAGCACAGTGGCACAAACTCCACACACTGCAACCTCTCCCTCCCAGGTTCAAGCCATTCTCCTGTAGTCTCCCAAGTGGTTGGGATTACAGGTATCCACCACCGAGGCCAGCTAATTTTTGTATTTTTAGTAAAGACAAGGTTTCACCATTTTGGCCAGGCTGGTCTCAAACTCCTGACCTCAGGTGATCCATTCACCTCGGCCTTCCAAAGTGTTGGGATCAAGCCCGGCCTAGCTAATTTCTAATGAACAGCATGAAAATGCAAAAGGCCAAGATAATCAATGCAATCTTATGGGAGGGGGAAGCTGAGAGGCATATATTATCAGATATCAAGAATTGTTATTTTATTAAATTATAGCAATTAAGACAGTGTGGTATTGGCACAAGAACAGACCAAAGGAGCAACTAAGAGAATCCCAAAAGCAGGCCCACACATATATACGCATACTTATATGACAAAAGTGACCCTGCAATGCAACAGAAGAATAATCTTTTCAATAAATAGTGCTGAATAAGTTGCATATAGAAAGAAAAGGAAAAAAAGAATTCGGATCCTTTTGTAGTTTGCAAACATGATGAGGTTTTCATCCTCATGTGTGAGGTGTGCCTCCCCTCAAACCTAGTTACATAGACACATCACCTGTCTGACATGGAGAGGAAAAAAAAAAAAAAAGAATGCTGACCTCTACCTCATAACTTATGCAAAAATTAATTCCAGATGGATTGCAGAGTTAAATGCAAATGGTAAAAAAAATTTCTCACGGACGTGAAGAGATATTTATAACATATGCAAATAGTAGCATTATTCACAAAGGTCAAAAGGTAGAAGCTTGCCAAGTGTCCACTGACAAATAAAATGTGGTACAATTAAATGTTATTCGTCCTTGAAAAAGGAAGAACAGTGGCCAGGCGCAGTGGCTCACGCCTGTAATCCCAGCACTTTGGGAGGCTGAGGTGGGCAGATCACAAGGTCAAGAGATTTGAGACCATCCCGACCAACAAAGATTAGCTGGGCGTTGTGGTGGGTGTCTGCAGTTCCAGCTACTCAGGAGGCTGAGGTGGGAGAAATCACTTTAGCCCCAGAGGCAGAGGTTGTGGTGGGCTGGGATTGTGCCACTGCACTCCAGCCTGAGACTTTGTCTAAAAAGAAAAAAAATAAAGAAGAACATGCTATAACATAGATGAAATTTGAGGACATTAAGTAAAATAAGCTAGTCACAAAAAAGAAAATACTGTATGATTCTACTTATATGAGATATCTAGGAGTCAAATTCATAGGGGGAAAAAAAAATAGAAGGCCAGGCACAGTGGCTCATGCCTGTAATCCCAGCACTTCGGGAGGCTGAGGCAGGTGGATCACCTAAGGAGTTACAGACCAGCCTGGCCAATGTGGTGAAGTTTGTCTCTACTAAAAATACAAAAATTAGCTGGGCATAGTGGTACACACCCGTAGTTCCAGCTTCTCAGGAAGCTGAAGCAGGAGAATTGCTTGAACGCAGGAGGTGGAGGTTGCAGTGAGCTGAGATCACCCCACTGCACTCCAGTCAGGGCAATAGAGCAAGACTCTGTCTTGGGTGGTGGGGGGAACCCCAAACAAACAAACAAAAAGAAAATAGTGGTTGCTAGTAGCTGAGATAAGGGAGAAATGGAGAGTTGTCTAACGGGTATAGAGTTTCAGTTTTGCAAGATGAAAAAGTTCTAGAGATTATACATGCACAACAGTGTGAATATACCTAACACTACTGCACTGTACACTTTAAATAGTTAAAAGAGAATTTTATGTTACATGTATAAAAAATTTTTAAATAAAGCTTATTGTGTATGTGTGTATATATGTGTGTGTGTATATGTATACAAATAAAATCAACATCTTAGCCTAATGAAGTGGTGCACATCTGTAACCTCAGCACCCCAGCCCTTTGGGAGACAGAGGTGGGTAGATCACCTGAGCCCAGACTAGCCTGGACAACATGGAGAAACCTCATCTTCACTAAAAATGCAAAAAAAATTAGCCAGTGTTTGGTGGCATACACCTGTAGTCCCAGCTACTGGGGAGGCTGAGGTGGGAGGATCGCTTGAGCCCAGGAAGTCGAGGCTGCAGTAAGCCTCAAGGGGAGAAAGGGGAAGAAGATGAAAGGGGAGGGAGAGGGAAAGGAGGAGGAGGGAGGGAAGAAGGGAGGGAGGAAGGAAGGATGGACGGACCTGTATGATCTTGGGACAAGCAAAAAGAAAAAGTGCTAACCATAAAAAAAAAAATGAAACTCTTGACTATATTTGACTACGATAAACAAAATTGAAACTCTTGACTACATCTTGACTCCAACAAACTTCTATTCATTTTGTCAGGGCCAGGCAAAATAGGCATCTGCAGGAACAGCAGAGGTCTTAGTACAGGATGACAGAGTATCACCAGGATAAAGAAGGGGTGAGCATGGTGGCTCACACCTGTAATCTTAGTGCTTTGGAAGGCCGAGGTGAGTGGATCACCTGAGTCCAGAAGTTAGAGACCAGCCAAGGCAACATGGCAAAACCCTGTCTCTATCTACAAAAAAGTTAGCTAGGCATGGTGGCAAGTACCTGTAGTCCCAGATGCTCAGGAAGCTGAGGCAGGAGGATCACCTGAGCCCAGGCGGTTAAGCAAGGCTGCTGTGAGCTGTGATTGTGCCACTGCACTCCAGCCTGGGCAAAAGAGTGAGACCCTGTCTCAAAAACAAACGAAAAAAACCAACCAACCAACAAACAAAAACAGGATAAGGGATACATCAATACAGAAACATGGCAGCCCTGCACAGAGTGCTCAAGTCCAAATGAGATGAGGAAAGCAATCAAGGAAAGGTATCAGAGAAGGGTGTTCATGCAAGGGTGTAGGCCAGCAATCTGACATGGGGTTTTGGAGCCTAAGTAAGTCAGGTAAGGGTGGCATCTACATAGTGGATGTGGGGAACAGCAGCAACATGAGAGAGTGGTCACATAGAAGGGGACTGATTGACTAAGAAAATATGTTGAGGATAATGAGAGCCAAGTTATTCACTGTCAGAAAAGGGAGTTACAATTACGGAAATTATTGAACAAACCCTGTGGTATTAAACGGGAATTGGGGATATCAGTGTGAACTCATGGTTTTAAATAATACATAATATAAAGTAACGTAAATGTACAATGTGTACCTGTGTGTATGAATGTTTACATTTATATATATTCCCTATCTCGGTCCAGTATGATGGCTTGGGAGCCATGACACCCCAATACCAAGCATACTTAACACCCAGATCTGGACTTCTACATGTTGTTCTCTACTAAAAGGAACTACTAAAAGAGCTTCTTGGAGAAATCACTAATTCCTGGGATAGGGCAAAAAAAGTACAAAGAGCCTGGAATATCTTTCAGTAAGTAAGAAAATGCTCGGCTGGGTGCGGTGGCTCATGCCTGTAATCCCAGCACTTTGGGAGGCCAAGGTGAACAGATTACAAAGTCAGGAGATTGAGACCATCCTGGCTAACATGATGAAATCCCGTCTCTACTAAAAATACAAAAATTAGCCAGGTGTGGTGGTGCGTGCCTGTAGTCTCAGCTACTTGGGAGGCTGAGGCAGGAGAATCCCCTGAATCCGGGAGGTGGAGGTTGCAGTGAGCCGAGATCACATCACTGAACTCCAGCCTGGGCAACAGAGCAAGACTCCGTCTCAAAAAAAAAAGAAAAGGGGAGGGCCAGTGGGAGGGGAAGGAGGGGAGGGATAGCCTGGGGAGAAATGCCAAATGTGGGTGAAGGGGAGAAGGAAAGAAAAGCACACTGCCATGTGTGTTCCTACGCAACTGTCTTGCATGCTCTGCTCATGTACCCCAAAACCTAAAATCCAATAAAAAATTTAAAAAAAAAAAAAAAAGAAAAAAGAAAATGCATGCTCAATAAATGATGGTAACACATCAAAAAACAGAGGAAGCAGTTTGAATGCACTTCCCAATGGCCAAATAGGGAGCAATTCAAGCATCAAAATAAATAATGAGGCTCATGTCTCAGCACTTTGGGAGGCCAAGGTGGAAGGAGTTATGATTACACCACTGTACTCCAAAGCCTGGGGAAGAGAGCAAGATCTCATCTCTCTCTTTTTTTAATGCCATTCTCCTGATTGTAGATCCCATCTCTTAAAAAAAAAAAAAAAAAAAAGATAATCCAATAGGGAAAAAAGGCCAAGACTTAAACAAACACTTCACAAAAGAATATGTCTAAACAGCCAATAAACCTAAAAAGGTGAGTGTTTAAAGTAGTCATTAAGAAGACACAAATTAAAACAGTGAGATAGTACCATCATCCACTAGAATGGCTGCAACAAAAAAGATATTATTATTATAATTATTATTATTAAGATAGAGTATGGCTCTTGTTGCCCAGGCTAGAGTGCAATGGCATGGTCTCGGCTCACTGCAACCTCTGCCTCCCAAGTACAAGCAATTCTTCTGCCTCAGCCTCCCAAGTGGCTGGGAATACAGGTGCCTGCCACCACGCCTGGCTAATTTTTTTTTTGTATTTTTAGTAGAGATGGGGTTTCACCATGTTGGCCAAGCTGGTCTTAAACTCCTGACCTCAGGTGATCTGCCTGCCTCGGCATCCCAAAGTGCTGGGAGTACAGGCATGAGCCACTGCGCCTAGCCCTGTTTTTTTTTTTTTGAGATGAAGTCTCACTCTGTTGCCCAGGCTGGAGTGCAGTGGCCCCATCTTAGCTCACTGCAACCTCTACCTCCCAGGTTCAAGCGATTCTCATGCCCCAACCTCCTGAGTAGCTGGGATTACAGGCACCTGGCACCACA